ACTCTACAGGTGTGGTGCGAAAAATAACGCAAAACATTGCCATCGTGTTATGTCAACAAAGTTCGATTAAAGTGTACTCTTAAAGACAGGTGGTATCGTGATATTCATAGACGGAGCAGGCAATATAGTCTTTTTTGAAAGTTATTTGTAATTTATTGTTCTCATGGCAGATTAGTTGTTTACATACCTGCACGTAATATAACCGATAACAAACAAAGGCTTAAGCTACCTGGGGGTTGTTTGCTGATAGCTCAGGTAGTTTAATGGCCCATCTAGTGTGGGTTGTTTGTTGACAGACTAGTGTTGCGAAATCTCAGTAATTGAGGTCACGCATGTCTCACACGTAAGCATTTCGCTTTTGATCGGAGATCCAGGTATGCAATGATGATGATGAAATCTCCGTCACTTATTTACGAGATTCGGAAATTGTTGGAACCGTGACAATTTAGAAAATGCAAAATTAAAAAATTCAACATTCTGTGAATCAAATCAAATTGGTTGCTATAGAGGTATGGAAGAACGCACACATTGTGTTATGCCATGGAAACCTTTGCTTGTTATTAACACATAAATGCATTGCAAAGGTCACGTTTTTGTGTTACACAAGTATATGTTATCTACATGTGTTTTCACATAATATTACTAGTATATATCACATCTTATGAACAGAACTTTACGTTCTGTGTTCGCAGCTACATACACTAGTAGATGTAGCCATGGTAACTCTTTAGATACCCAGGACTAAGTCGCTCGAACAAACAGTACAATGGCAACGAAACATCGTATGTCATGTGAATGGAACAATACGATATTACATATCGCATAAATAATCTCTATTTAAGTTTGATGCCTATGCATTTAGTGTTTGAGTTAATTGATATGTAATTTTTTACAAAACAGTACTAGTAGTGACAATGCCCCCGCTTACTAAATGCAGGACACTGCGTAAGGTTACTGGCGCGCAGTAGCCTTTCACTGACCTTTGTAAAGTAGATTGGATACAATACGTTGCGTGCCATGTCATGTCACATACAATGAAAAACAGGGCTATTCACCAAATACAGTTATTGCAATAACTCAGTCTACATCGCTTTTAGGTTTGTTACAACTTGTGTTAATTTGTAAACAACTAAAAATAACACAAATGAATCAATATCTTATTGTTCATGACTGTTTAACTTGAAAGCATACGTTATGCAAATGACACTTTTTCCCCTCTGAAACAATTCTGATTAAAATATAAAACTGTTCTCTATAGTCTATAATAAATCCACCCGCAAGGAAAATAAAATTACACCAAAATCCCACCCACCCCAACAATCAAGCATGATTAGACGTTACTCGTAATTTGGGACAACAGGATACATATTGGTTCACGTGACAATGTTTATGTAAATTATGTGCAATCATGGAACTAAAGTTTCATGGTAACATGAAACAACATTCTTTTGTGTGCTGTGGAACTTAATTCTGAGAAGATTTGGTAAATATTATTCCAAAATGATTTTTTTAGAAAAGTTCTATAGAACACAATGTTAAAACAAAACAACATTTTGTATCACTAATTAAAATCCAAATTATATTACAATTAATTCATATAATTATATAACCAGACAACCAAGGTATGACATCCCCAGCAAAGGATCGGAGCCAGTGGTCAGAACATTCTAATTGCTGATAAAATTGTCTTCTTTACCTGAAATATAACCATAATATTCTTACTGGTGACCCAA